CACAGGACCTAACCAGATCAACTACAACATCACCAGCTCATTCACCTGCACGTCCACCAATGTTATATATGCCATCATGTGCCAGCAATGCCCCTCTGCTATGTACATTGGCCAAACTGGACAGTCACTACGCAAGAGGATAAATGGACACAAGTCAGATATCAGGAATGGTGGTACACAAAATCCTGTAGGAGAACACTTCAACCTCCCTGGCCACACAATAGCAGATGTAAAGGTAGCCATCTTACAGCAAAAAAACTTCAGGACCAGACTCCAAAGAGAAACTGCTGAGCTCCAGTTCATTTGCAAATTTGACACCATCAGACCAGGATTAAACAAAGACTGTGAATGGCTAGCCAACTACAGAAGCAGTTTCTCCTCCTTTGGTGTTCACACCTCAACTGCTAGCAAAGCACCTCACCCTCCCTGACTGAACTAACCTTGTTATCTCCATACTGATTTATACCTGCCTCTGGAAATTTCCATTACTTGCATCTGATGAAGTGGGCATTCACCCACGAAAGCTTATCCTCCAATACTTCTGTTAGGCTTAAAGGTGCCACAGGACCCTCTGTTGCTTTTTACAGGCCTACATTGTACACGATATATCAGAACCATACACAAGTGGTGAACATGGGGAACAGGGGGTTAGTCACAAGAGGGATGCAGTGTGGGGTGAGTGGGGCAAAGATAGTCTCTGTCATCCCAACACAGGACACTGTGGTGAGGGGCAGGCGGAGACGAGCTGGGCTGTCGGGTTCCTCATCTCCCTCTGGCCTCAGTGATGGGGGTCGGCCTGGCTTCAAGGCTGCCCAGGTGTGTTGACATCCCCGGCTCCCTTCTTGCCTGTGCCCAACCTCAGCATCTCAGCAATATGGAAACACTGCCCTCTCCCCCTATCCTTGTTTGGGGTCCTTTAGAGTTCAGGGGCAGCTTCCCATGACACTCACAGGCCAAGTCTCGTCGCTCTCTGGCTCTGATGCAGCAAGTTCACAGTTCTCAGCCTCAGCCGTCTGGCTCTGAGGAGCAAACCCAGCAGTTTCATTCCCCCCCCACCCCCTGACCTTCACCCCCTCCCAACGGTATCTCACATCACTGCAGGGATCAGGCAGTAACTTCATTCCCAGTTTCAGTCTCTGCCTCTTGGAGTCGATCTAGTTTGCACCATCAGCATTTGTGCTGAGAGATACTGATCACTGTCATTGTTCAAACCACACACAAAAATCTCATGACAAAGGGTTAGATAAAGATTAAAATAAAATAAAATCTAAAAAAAGACTATTCTGGCAAATGATCATTTGTCTCGGGAAGTCCTCAATAAATCTGAGTTACATCCTGTCAAACTCAACTAATATCAATTCATGTGACCAAACGGCCGTCACCAAGAGGAAAAACCCACAATCTAGAATGGACGATAAGACACTTTCATGTTCTCAGAGAATCCTTCAAGATTCAAAATCCAGAAAATAAAGTTATCCCTTTATCCAGTGGCAAAACCAGCTTCACTTCTTGCCTCATTATTTGGTTGTATTAGTTGCAAAGGTTTGAGCATCATTATACTAAAAGAGAAAGAACGACATACACACACAGGACTCTCTCTTGCTTTTTACAGATCCAGACTAACACGGCTACCCCTCTGATACTACACACACACAAAAATCCTCCCCATCTACAAATGATCTGCACTAAGCCTAGAAAAAGCTGGGAAGCCATTTTACCAATAGATGGAAACAGGGCTATGAGATATACCTATCTCATAGAACTGGAAAGGACCTTGAAAGGTCAGTTGAGTTGAGTCCAGTTCCCTGCCTTCACAGCAGGACCATGTACTGCCCCAGATCCCTAAAAGGATTGAACTCACAACGCTGTGTTTAGCAAGCCAATGTGCAAACCACTGAGCTATCCCTCCTCCTAGTAATTTAAACTGTCAAATTCTGCTTTGAGGTTCATTGGGATTTCCTCACCCACTCCCAGGTCTGTGACCCTTTCTTCTCCAGCATCTGATTTAGGATCATAGACATAGAAACTGTGATTCCTAAGCATAGAGAGCCAGGGACACGGTGGTAAGTGACACCTTGAGAGACGGAGGGGTAGAATGAGGAGAAGGTTAAAACTCTCCGTTGCTGGGACAGAGGCTGCTGTGTCGAGGGTGGAGGGATGGGGGAAGGAGGGAATCCCTTAGACTCACCCCCATCATCCTCAAATAGCACAGAAGCTAAAACACCACCGTCTACTGTCCCTGCTCCCCATTTTTTTAGCATCTCGTTAATTCTGCTCCATAAGGGAGAAAATGGACAAACAGTAAATGCTTTTTAGCAGGGCCTGGAGTAATCTGAGACTATCTGGGAATGAGACAATCCGGCCCCAAAGGGAGAATTTAGGGACTAACAATCACTCTGCTAATTGGGAGGGGGTCAGAACACATAAGTAAGGCTACAATTTTGTTACAGAAGTCACGGAAGCTGTGACTTCCAGAGACCTCCGTGACTTCAGCCCATTTTGCTCAGAGCTGTGGGGTCCCCACATACCTCGTGGTGGCTGAGAGCTGCCCCCTAGATCACTGAGCCCGTGACTTGTCCATGACTTTTACTAACGATATCCATGACAAACAGGGGTGGCAGGTTTGTAGAAATTTTGGTGGTGCCCAGAACCCGCCCCCCCCCCAAACTCCACCCCTCATCTGACTAAGGCTCTGGGAGGGAGTTTGGGCAGGGGGAGGAGGTCTGGGGTGCAGGCCCTGGGCTGGGGCAGGGGATTGGGGTGCAGGAGGGGTGCAAGGTGTAGGCTCTGGGACGGAGTTTGGGTGCAGAAGGGGTGAGAGGTTGGGCTCTGGGAGGGAGTTTGGATGGGGGAGAGGATCTGGGGTGCAGGCTCTGGGATGGAGTTTGGGTGCAGGAGGGGGCTCTGTGCTGGGGCAGTGGGTAGGGATGCAGGAGGGGGGGTGCAGGCTCTGGGATGGAGTTTGGGTGCAGGAGGGGGCTCTGTGCTGGGGCAGTGGGTAGGGATGCAGGAGGGGGGGTGCAGGCTCTG